TTCATAGTAAACAATGTAATCATGGGGTCACCGGTATTTTCTCTGAGATGGGCCAGCATCATTGCAAGTGGGTTTCTGTGTGTATAACTTTTCTGTAAATCTGAAATTCTGAAATAGTTTTACAGTTACAGAAGAGATTTTAAACACTGGAATAATGGTTTTACTCTCACATAAGATCAGAGTCAGGAGACAAGACACATCTGACACCATCAAAGTTCAGAGTGTCAGGCTACAGCTTTCCCCAACCCTCCGGGAGAGGCTCTGTGCTGGGCAGGGACGAGGCTTCTGAGCTACAAGACGTAGAGCAGAAGGCGAAGGCTCAGTGCCTCTCACCCCATAAAACTTGGGTTGTTAACCACAATCTGGGAGTTCTGAACTGAAAACCCATAAAACCCAGAGACTAAAGCCCAAGACTGGGAACATGAGATAAAGTTCTCCACAGAGGATCATTCATTGTCCCAGGGTTGGCCTGGCTTCTTAGAAAGCTGTGGCGTCAGTCCTTCCGCTGATCGTGGATCCTGGATGGCTGGGATCGGAACAGTAGACTGGACGAGGTTTATCCTCTGTTTCCTTTGTCTAATCCCAAGGCGGATGAATGGTGGCTGTCGAGTCTCAACGGAATGAAAATTAAGATTATCTGGAGTGGCTAATAGCTCTGAGCCTGGGGAGTTACTCAGAAGCAAGTCTGCCCAGCCCCAACCCCACTGTGTTTATTTAGGTCTTTATTTGCAAACCCCAGCAGGGCAGGGCCTTTGTGCTCTCAGCTCACAAAAAAAAAAAACCAAAAACCATGGTCACACTTTAAGCATAACGCACGTGCTGGCTTGCTCTTGTGGACAGACAATGCTTAGGAGCTGCAGCCCCAAGCCTCCTTCCTCCGTACCAGGAGGCAGCAGTGTTCCCATAGGCCTTTGTTCCAGGGTGGATCACAGTACCTCACATTGACTTTCCTGTAAGTCCTCAGAACAGGAGTGCTGGACTCTCCAGTGAAGTCTGTGTATTCTGGGTACACTGGGAGGTCTCCTGTGTGTCCAGCTCCATGTGATCTGTGTGGTAAAAGGCAGAGCCAGGACAGACAGAAGGACTAGCTACGCTGGGAGGAAGCCCATGGAAACATGTCTCTGATTTCTCCACAGCAGGAGGGCGGCGCCTAGCTGCCCATGATCAGTTAGTTACCCATCGGGACACAGCAATCAGCTTAGAGGTTCTGAGGCCAAGCCCATCAAGAGCCACAGCTCAGTCTAGTGGCACATCATGGACTTGGGTCTCAGTTCCATCATTCCTTTCTTCCTCAGCTCCAGTGCCCTGTCCCCCACTTTACCCAGGCTTTTCCTTCCTAATTTCCTGAAGCTTCCTGCCTCCGTTCTTATTCCATGTAGTCTATGTCTTACATTAATTACCTCTTGGGCAGACACCCCTCCCCCTAAAGCCTCCTAAAGGTTCCTCCTCCTGTGACTGGTCTGCATACCTGGACACCTTGTTTTATGGACTGCCATTCCATAAAACCAATAGCCCTGCTCTTAGAGCAAAGTCTAGATTTGGGGTGAATGCGAAAATGATGGCTCTGTCCCACTACAGTTCCCCCCTTTAAAACTACTTGTTTATGGTTGCCGTAAAAAGTTAAAGGAAGTGATTTCTCTAACTCGTCTTTTCTGTATTTATTAGTGGGCATCTGCTGTAAAGCAAGCTTTCCTTTATCTATGGATATTTTCCTAGCTCCCATGAGATACATTTGCTATTTGAAAGACAAGAATAGTAGCTACTATACTTCAATGACCTTCGAATGACTGTATGTGCAATAGTAAATAGGAAATTGATGTCCTGTCCCCCATGATAACTCAGAGATGAAGACATAAAGTTGAAAGGCCGTTTCCCTGTTCATCACCACAGAGCTGTTGGCAGCACATCAGGAGTTAGGACCTGGAATACTTTGGAACCCCCATGCCCTCTGATCCTGTGTTCCTTCGGAAGCTTCCAGATGCTGGGTTTGCAAGCTTGGGTCCTTGCCGTCCTTTGGCCACTAGCTTCAGTTTGGTTTGGTTGATCCTCTGTTCTTTTTCCCACCTCCTCTACCAACAGGGAAGGCAGGAGCCAGAGAGAGCCTCTGTCACACTTCCCTCCCCAGGGATGGTCTGCCTGGCTCGGTTATCGCTTTTCTGTGAACAGAGCTGTAACATCTCAAGTCCAGTCTAGAGAACTAGAGCTCTCAGTGATAGGCACAGTCTCTTCTTTCCCAGGCGATCTCCACTGTGTTACACCATGCTCTCGTGGATTGCTCAATCTGCGGGGCTCCTCCCTTCTTCTCCTTTGTGTTTAATTTCTTTCGGGAAATTGTGCTCTTCTGCACAGTTTATTGGCTCCTGTGACAACAGGTGATATTCTGCCTGCCTTGTGTCGTCTGTAAACAGAGGGATGATGATAATCAAGGATGGCTGGAGGACTCTTTTTGTTGTTATTGTTGAAATAAAATCAGACATGCAAGTCACAAATAGACAAGTAGGGGCTGGGAATACAGCTCAGTTGGTAGAATGCTTGCCTAGCATGCATGAAACCCTAGGTTTAATTCCCTACCACCACACAGCCAGTTGGGAGATAGATCCAGGAGGAACACAAGATCAAGGTCATCCTCAGCTACATAGGGAGTTCAGGTCAGCCTAGGATACCCAAGACTCTGTTTAAACCAAGCAGACAGACAGATAGACAGACAGGCAGACAGACAGAGGATTGGGGACATAGCTCAGTTGGTAAATTGCTTGCCACAATTCCTAGCACCCACATAAAAAGTCAAGTGTGTCAGTATATGCTTATAATCCAAGCACTAGGGAGGCAGAGACAGGCAGATCCTTGGAACCCACTGGCCAGCCAGCCTAGCTAAATTAGTAAGCTCCAGCTCAGTGAGAGGCTGTCGTAAAAAACAAGTGGATGGTTCCTGAGGAATAACACAAGTTGACTGCAGCCTTCATCCTCATACATGTACACCCACACGTATACACTCTTAACATACACACACACACACACACACACACACACACACACACACACACACCCCAAAAAGAAGAAAGAAAATAAGTAGTTAATCAATTTAATGTGTTTATGAGTTAAGTCAAATTTTGTTGACTACATATAGATTTGTTATTTAGAATATCGGTATTAAATGCTAGCTGGTAACTGTTGTGTGATATTTTGTTTGTGTTCTGACAAATAAAACTTGCCTAGAGATCAGAGGGCGGAGCTAGCCACTAGCTAACCCTAGAGGCCAGGCCTGTTGGTGGCACACACCTTTAATCCCAGCACTTAGGAGAAGGAAGCAGGAAGACCAGGAGTTCCAGGCCACTCTGGGCTACAGGAGACTGAACTAATCTAAAAGAGAAACAGAGACGAGTGGTGGAGGTGCACACCTTTAATCCCAGCACTAGGGAGGTGGAGACAGGAATATAAGGTGGGTGGAGACAGGACCTCAAGCATATTCAGTCTGAGGATTCGTAGAGACAGAACTGCCCCATTCGGGCTGAGATTTTGTAGAGGTAAGAAGTCTCTGTTGGCTCGCTGCTCTGCTTCTCTGATCTTTCAGCTTTTGCCCTGATCTCTGACTCGGGGTTTTTATTGTTAAGACTAATTAGGATCTCACTCCAGGCAACTTTGCCTTTGTGTGCCGGGCATCCACACTACCCTCTCTCTTTTCTTTTCCCCCTTTGGTTTTTCGAGACAGGGTTTCTCTGTGTAGCTTTACGCTTTTCCTGGAACTTGCTTTGTAGACCAGGCTGGCCTTGAACTCACAAAGACCCACCTGCCTCTGCCTCCCGAGTGCTGGGATTAAAGGCGTGTGCCACCACCGCCCGGCTCACACTACCCTCTCTACCTGCTTCCCCGCCTTCTGTCTTACAACTCCATTCAGTGGATATGCCGATGTCTTCATTTCACAGATGAGATTTACCAAGCACAGAGTTTCCCCCAAGTTAGTGAGTGGCAGAACCAACCTTCCCACCAGCATCCCAACTGGAGCCACACAGCTAACGACTTTCTTCTAACGTGATTCTCTATCACTTGGGAAGTGTGAACAGTGGAAAGGGATCTTAGTACAAAGACCTGCCTGATGCTGTCACATGAACTCTGAGAAGCAGACCTCCACTTTCAGTCGGACTGAGAACCTGAGGACAGGCTAGTGCTCCTGTTTGAAAGCTGGATGTTAAATCATAAAAACCACTGTCCACAGTTAAGAAAGTCACTGAAGGGCCCAGGAGTCTGAAGCCGGAGGCACGGGGAGTGAATGGCTGTCAGCCCTGGGCAGTCGTCGGCCTGGAGACCCCATGCAACCGGATTCCAGGCCCTGCTGGACAGAGTCCGATTCTGGGGGCGGAGGTTCAGCACAGCTCTAGAGTCTGTGTGGACTCTTGAGTTGGTGAGTCTGTCAGCCTTTTTGTGGTGAGGTCTAGATGCCCTGCTCGGCTTCTGCTGTGAAAGGGGTGGGTGCTACAGGGCTCTTCAGTGCCTGGCTAAGGCCATGAGGTCAACGACAGCCTTGGCGGCCACCATTTCCTGCCTTTTGTCAGAGGGAGCAAGCTTCCTATGGTAATATTTTGGTTTGTGCTTACCAGCATTTCCAAGTCGCTGCCTTCAGCTCCACACATGGGATTCACAAGGTAAGGAAAACCAAAACCAGAATCTGAATGAACACACCAAGATAGAGAGCCTGTCACCATGTCATTGGCTGGATCTGAGTTAGCAGGCCATCTTCTCTCCCCCTTCCCGTTGTCTTGGTCTCCAGCTCTGTGTGACTCCTGGGCTTCCACAGGCATTCACAATGAATTGTACGTCGGTGATTCTCCTTGTGTGAATCTATACCTGGGAGCTTTTTCTTTGGAGTAGAGGAAGAGTGGGGACTACTTCCTTAGAAACTTCCTGGAAGCAGCATTGGGGCAAAAGGGAATACTACAGAGCCGTTGTCGTGCCTGAGAACAGAATATGGTCTGATAGTGAGACTAGAACAGCGCCTGGTAGAATATGGCCAGCACAAAGAGTTCTTATGTTTGGTGCTTAGTTTTTCTTCGTTTGGTTTGAGACAAGGTCTGATTATGGAGCCTACACTGACCTCAACCATGGTAATCCTTCTGACTCAGCTTCTCAAGTGCTGGGATCACAATAGGTATGTGCCACCAGATTTGGCTAAGATAATTGTCTGTCGGGTGAATATATTTATTCAACCCACCACTCTCCCCAATTTTAGCAAAGTGTATGAGCTAAAAATGATTCTTCCCTGACATTTCTATTTTCAGGGCTGTACTTGTTGGCTAACTGTGACTCTTTTTCTGTCAATTTCCAGAACAGAGATATTCTTCCCCGGGACATTGAACAGTCAGTCTGTCTGTCCAGCTGCTTCTCTGGGTCAGCTTCCCTGACAGAGGGACCAGCCTCGCTGAGGTGGAATCATGACTGTCTTTACCTCTCAGCCCTTCTGTGGAACAAGGCAACTCTTCAGGCCACGCCCGGCTTTGGGTAACCCATTCCACCAAGGTTCTCACGTGCTTACTCATCGTTTTCACCCAAATGTCCAGTTAACCTGGTGCTGGTGAATCAGTGGATGCAGCGTGTGAATGCAGCGTGTGCCCATCTGGAGCCAGCCAGCCTCTCCTCCTTCTGCCTCTGCCGCAACTCCAGTCAAACATCTTTGATTTTTTTTTTCTTCCTTTATTTTTAATGGCTAATGCTTTGGAGAACTCTGAGTAGGAAAGCGCTACCCAGGAGAATTCAGTGGAATTTTCTGCACCAGCTGACCATGTTTTGTCACCTGACAGAGCGGGCTCACATTTTCTTGCCAAGCCCGTGAAGTCATTTGTTGGACTCTGTTGTCGTAAGTTATTCATTAGCAGGCACGAGGAAAACACCCTGAACAGTAAGGCTTCTCTTGCTCTAGCTACTGTTTCTGGCCCCCTTCCTGGCCAAGTCTTCACACACACACACACACACACACACACACACACACACACGTCTTTGCCTCTGTGGATCTGCTCTCCACAGCCCACCCATCGTCCTCTCGTGCTAAGGGCAGTGCAGGTGAGCGCTTCTCCGCCAGGGGCCCACCTCCGGCCGCTCTCCCTCTCGTCTTTGTAGGTGGTGGTCCCTGGAGCACCTTGCCCCTGGCTCTGCTCTTCCTTCCTCCAGGCTGTGAGACATCAGGACCTGGGTGCTCAGTCTTTTGATCCCAGCATCTATCACAGCCCAGAGCAACACAAAGTAGGTTTTTGCTCAAGGTACAGAACCAGGCAAACCAACCGACATGTTTCTTTCTCTTCCAGCTTCTGACTGGGTCAGGCCTCCTGAGCAGCCATCAAAACTAAGACTTTTAGAGGAGACGCATCTAGACAGCAGGGAATCACTCATGCAGAATGCAGGCCTGGATGTCTGCATTTCAGACCCCAAGGCTCTCCCTCCACCTGCCACTGCTACTGCAGATCTGTGCTGCTCTCCATTCATTCAGGAGCCGGGTCTCCCCAAGTCACATACACTGTTAAAACAGGCTCGACCTAGAAGAAATCCATACATCCTACCATAATAAGCCCTTCTAAATGCTAAGAGTGATTCTCAAGTATACCCAGCCTAGCACCCGAGGTTGGCATTTTCAGTTAGAATTAGAAACGTCATAAGACTTTGCTAGCTGACACATCATGCTCCCCCAGATTAAAATGGCGGAGGTAGTGTTTCCACCTTTTCACAGCCTGGAGTATCATGATCTAACTTATGTTGGGAGAGGGCCTCCACCCAAGGGTCCTGACGCTCCCTGCTTGAATGAGACAGTTCTAAGACATTGCTTAGGTTAAAGTGTTCGCTGCTCAGACGTCCGTGAGTAACTGGAGATGGACTAGAGAAAAGAAAGCTGAGAGAGAGGCAACATTCACCCCCTGTTCTGAGAACAACACTGTACCCGGAAACAAATACAAGGTAACCCCAACAGGCAGAACAGCACGTACAATCCAGCCTTACTCAGAAGACCCAGGCCCTATGTCTTTGGCTGGAATTGTTGACAAAGTCCTTTTTGAGCTGGAGTCTCAACTGTTAAGAATATGTGTTGTGCCGGGTGGTGGTGGCACATGTCTTTAATCCCAGCACTTGGGAGGCAGAGCCAGGCAGATCTCTGTGAGTTCAAGTCCAGCCTGGTCTACAGCCAGGACAGGCACCAAAACTACACAGAGAAACCCTGTCTTCAAAAAAAGCAAAACAAACAAACAAACAAAAAAACAAAAAACAAACAAAAACAAACAAAAACAAACAAAAACAAACAAACAAAAAACTACATGTTGCTCTTACAGAGGACCTGGTTTCAGTGGTTTCAGTCACCAGCTTCCACAGGGTAGCTCACAACCACATATAGTTCTAGTTTCAGGGGATCCAGCATCCTTTACTGGCCTTTGTGGGTTCTTGCACACTCATGCACACACATACAGGCAAACATTATACACATAAAATAATTCCTTTGCAGGAATGGAAACCCTACAATGTAGATAGTCCTACCCTGGAGGGACATTACCCTGTCAAGAAGCCAGAGAACTTGCTGGTGAAAGCATCTCTCGCCTTGCTAAGGACCCTCAAGAGCTTCAGTTGTTAGGAAGGAAACTGCCTGAGAGCCTCATGCTGGAAGGCGAAGAAGTAACATGTTAACAACTCCATGTTTTTGTCTGGAGATGCTTAGGAAGGCTCAGGCATGTGGAGGGCTGCGGAGCATCCACACCCACCACTCTGCTCTCTCGTGGAAGGCAGACTGAGTCTGGCCCTCGCCAACACTGTCAGGAAATGCGCATCAGAGAATGACAAGCCTGGAGTGAAAAAAACAAAATCAAACAGAGAAGTAACAGAATCAGCAAGTTCACTGGCAGCAGAATGTTTAACAAAAATAGGGTTAATGACCACTTTATCTGTGGCAGCCATGAAATCACAGACAGCCCTAAGACAATGTGAGCATTTGAGCACTGGATGAATTAGAATATTCATCAATTGTATCACTGTTAATCTCAGACACTCAAATGCTAAATAAAAAAATTCACAGGGGAAAAAAATCTGGATTAATTTAGTCCTAAATAAATCATCTACTGAACTGTGATAGCATGTGGGACTGTGGGTGGTTCTGTCTTCCTAACATGCTATCTTGGTTTTTTCCCCCTTTAAGGCAGTCTCCTGTAGCCTTGGCTGGCCTCAAATTCACTGTGGAGTCAAGAATGGCCTTGATTTCCTGATCTTCTTGCCTCCACCTCAAGCGTGCTGGAGTTTACAGGCATGGGCCACCGCTCTGCCTTGTGTTGCTGTTTGGACACAACAGTAGAAACAGCTGGAGGCAGAGACAGGAGGATCAGGAGTTCAAGGTCATCCTCGAGTACATTTGAGGCCAGCTTGGGCTACACGAGAATTTTTTTTGTTTTGTTTTGTTTTGTTTTGTTTTTTGTTTTTAAAGTGAACAATAATGAACAGATAAACTAGCCTAGCAGGAGCTTAGCACACACAGTTTTGAAAAGTTTTTAACAATGGAATGTACAAAAAAAAAAAAGTGAAGGAAAATTCACTGCTTTTCCATAAGTACAGCTTACTGTCGTTAAAATTCCTCCACCAGGGAACAAATTCTGGCAAGCTGGACTGTACACTATTTAAATTCTGTGTCACCTAAACATCATGAGTGCTTTTTTACCCAACAGTTGTCGACATGTAATTCTTCATACTTCCAAAACTCCTGTTTTCATGTGTCTTTTTCTAAGGCTAAATGATTATAAAGATCTTCCCAGTCTTCTTTTCCTTTGATATGTTTTTATCACAGTAAAATGCATATAACAAGATGCACCATTGTAACCACGTAGAATATAGTCGAGTGGCCCTAAGTTTGTTCATATGCTTTCGTAACCATCACCAGCATCCGTCTCCAGTGTTTCTGTTTGTTTGAATCACTGATTTTATTTATTTATTTGTTTGTTTGTTTGTTTTTGAGGCAGGTCCTTGTGTTGTAGCTCAGGTTGGCCTTGAACTCATGGCAATTCTGCCTCAGTCTTCTAAGTGCTAGGGTGGGTGGTACAAATCACCATGCATCGTCTTTAGGGCCTTTGTGTCTTCCCAAACTGAAATTCTATCTCTTTTAAACACCCCAGCTCCCAGCAGCCGTGATCACTTTCCGCATCTAAGACAGGCTGTGTGAACGTCTCATGTAAGGAGGAGTCATATGGTATTTATCTTTTTGTGCCTGGCTTGTTTCCCACAGGCTGAAACACTTGCCAGAATTTCCTTTCTTTGTAAGGCAGAGTCCACTGTGTGAACACATCACATTGCTTATCTGGTCCCCCTTCAGCAGACCTTTGGAGAGCTTATTGTAAATACTGCTCTGATGACTGTAAGTCTCTCCCTGGTCCCTGCTTTGTGTTCCTTAGCATGTATACCCAGCCGTGGAACAGCTGGATCCTGGTGCTTTTACTTCCAGTCTCCTGAGGGTCTGCCATTCTGTCTTCCATAGCAGCTGTACCATTTTACCCATGGGCAGAGTACAAGATTTCTTTTCTCCACATCCTCCCCACTTTCTCCCAGTCTTCTCAGAGGACACTGCAAGACAGGGAACCTTTCCTTGCCTAGCATCAAGTTAGAAGGAGGTTCTGAGCCAACCCAAGACCTCTGGTTACAATGGAGCCAACATTCCATAGGGTTATCCTAGCTGTTAAAAAGGAAAGGAGACCCCCACAGGAGCCATGGAAAGTAGTGACTCAATTTGCCAGCCTAACAAATGGTCCAAGTTTCTGATACAGTTCCTGATCCCTAGAACTTGACCTACCCCCATGGACCCTTCTGATGAACTGTCCCATAAGCTTGGACCTCAAAGAAAGATGCCATCTTACACATGACTCTAGAACCTTGGTTGGATGGCCAGCAACCAAGGCAAGGCTCAGTGGCTCCCTGTCAGGCATGTCCACACTTCTAGCTCCATATGCTTCAGAGGGGGGAGATTGTCTACATCTGCAGTCCCCACACTGGAGTCTTCAGGGAGTATCTGGCACCAGCCAGCCTACTTGAGTTTCTCCCTGTCCTTCACGGCTGAGAGGGGCAAGACTGTCCAGAACAGGTTAGTATTGGTAGAGGAAGCACTCCTGTCTAATGTCAGGGGGCATGCCTAAGAGGAGCAGACCTTAAGCTGGTATCTGTCCTCCAGGGAGTGGACATCTATTGGCTTATTCTCTAGCTTGCTTTTCTGAGGCTTTGAGATGCGGAGTACTTTGCGCTAAGTTAGAGTCTAAAGGGAGGGATGATGTTTGGGCCTGGTCAGCAGAGCAGGAAAGACAAATGGTTTCTTCCTCAGAGCCTAGCTGGCTTCCTGTTTTCCAGCTAGTGCAGAGAGGTTACAGTGTGAGATGAGCGGACAAGATCCAGGACCTGGCCCCATCAGGCTTTACTGCAGGGGCTGGGATGAGATTAGAGAAAGGTAACCACCATCTCTTTTTTGTGAGTGGACAGAATGGAAAAGTTGCTGTGATCCCCATGTTTGGGTCCTCTCAAAATTTGTGTGTTCAATTCTCATCCAAGGTGATGGTGTTGGGAGGAGCTTCTGGAAGAGGATTAGGTCATGAAGGTGGCACCTCAGGAATGGCATGGGTACCCTCATAAAATATCCTAGGGAGAGACTTTCCCCTATATCACCCACAAGCCTCGGTCTCCTCCCTGCATCCCACCCACCCCACCTAGGTGGCTGAGCAGGGTGCATGGGGTGCCCCTTTCCTGCAGCACTAGAGCTCCAGACATGCTCTCCTGCAGTTCCCCACCCTTCATGCTTGGCGTTGGTGAGCCCTGCCACTCCCTAGTCACATCTCTGTCCCCTGTGGGTCTTCCTGTCACTATCTCTGCTCTCTCCCTCTTTCAACCTTCTCACTCTTCCCTTCATGCTGAGAGACTCCACTGTGTGCCTGAGTGAGTGACTCTGTGTACTGGTCACTCAGGCCCTCGGCCTCCTCACATCCAGTATTTTCTCCATTTCACCATATGTGCCCCCCTGGACTGGCAGAGTGCAGCACTGCTGGGAGCTCAGGGAATGCCACACAGCTTCGGAGCCTTTTTAAGAGGCGATAACTGCCCAACACTTACCCCTCATCCTTTGCCAGCTCATGTAGCCACTTGAGAAAAGCTGAGGAGTCAATAGTTGGGCCTGATGTCCTCTATCCCTGAGCTCGACATGGCATGCCTCACCACCTCCCAAGTCAAATTCTTTCTTATGTATCATTGTAAGCTCCATGGCATCAGACAGACAGGCATAGAAAACACTGTCACAAGAAAGAAACTGCTGGGCGGTGGTGGCGCACACCTTTAATCCCAGCACGCAGGAGGCAGAGGCAGGTGGATCTCTCTGAGTTCTAGGCCAGCCTGGTCTACAGTGAGTTCCAGGACAGCCAGGGATATACAAAGAAACCCTGTTTTGAAAAAAAGAAAAAGAGAGAGAGAGGAAGGAAGGGAGGGAGGAAAGGAGGAAAAAGGAAGAAAGAAAAAGAAAGAAAGAAAGAAAGAAAGAAAGAAAGAAAGAAAGAAAGAAAGAAAGAAAGAAAGAAAGGGAGGGAGGGAGGGAGGAAGGAGAAAGAAAGAAAGGAGGAAGGAAACCCAGTCCCATGGATCCTAGGACGAGAGTCTGGGTGAGCACACACAGGGTTCTAACACTTACTATGGACCATCAGCTTCCCTCATCCCATCTCCCTTTGCTGAGCTCTCCAGAGAGAAGACTGGATCCACTCACATCACTCTTAACATTCCTGGATAACATTCCACTGTCTTTAGGATAGCTCCAAACCAGACATCTTCTGTCTCCTCTGTGAAATGGAAAAGCCACATCACTGCCTCCTGATGTTTCTTCCAGCTCGGAACCCATGATTCAATGGCCTGACCTAAACTCGGTTTCATGCAAATGACTTCTCTCAGGCTGGCTGTACCAACCCCCAGAGCAGGAACTCTAGGCAAGACAGAGGCCTTCTGTTCTTTCTGCTGAGCCTCCTCCTCACTGGTCTTCCAAGCACATCTCAGCATCTAGCCTGACCCCTGTGGAGCCATCACAAACCTTCCCACGTGCAGAGTCTGTGCTGGAGACTTCATATGCGCCAGCTTTCAATTTCCCTCAGGCACCACAGGCCTCTTAGACAAGGCAATATTATCTTTATTTCATAGAGAAGGAAACACACTCACATGAGTGAGAGGACCTGCCAGAGTCAGAGGGGACAAGTCCGTCCACAGGGACACTTCAGAGTGTCCTGAGAGCAACAAACAACATCCTGCAGCCTCTCTTATGCTTCCTTTGCCCAACCCACACCTGTGCACGCAGGTGACAGGGACAAGGGCCTGACTTAATCAAAACCTCCTGTGTAATGGGGCTGTGACATCATTCAGTCTAGCTGGCGACATCGTGCATTTGTGTTTACGTTGACACTGTGCATTTGTGTTTGCGGTAAGTTTAGAGTTACAGCAGTGGCAGAGGCTGTGTTGATTTAGTTACAGACCCCAGAACGGCGCGAAGTCAGTCATCAAAAGAAAGAAAACAACAAGTAAGAACAAGGCAGTCGGCCAAGGAAACATAAACTATCAAGGAAAGAGGGTCTTGGAGTTCTGGAAACGGATAGCATCAAGAAAAAGTAAAGATGGGGGCCTAAGCTCAGCAAGTAAATTATCCTTTTATTGTTTCAGGGAAAGGCTGTTCTTTCCAGGAAAATGCATGAAGGAGCCCCAGGGAATGTGGAGGCCTGATTGGGTCACCAGCGTTTTAACAACCCACAGTGTCCAGTTGGCTCTTTCCTCTCGGTTAAGGAAAGAGCAGCTGAAGTAAGGCAGTCCCGAGCCCTGGGGCGTCCCTTGTAGCCGACTTGTATTGGAGCAGGCCTATGGCTGGGACAGTAAAGGAAGAAAGGTTTAGCATCTTGTGGGCCACAAAACTGGTCACCCCAAGAGCAGGCAAACCACCTACTCTTGGTTTTAGTCACCTGATTGATATTTGTGACAGTGGGGGACCCAGGCAGAACCCTGGCATCTGCAGGGATCAGAGTGTGGAGGGATGGACATATAGGAAAGAGGAGAGGGAGGCATGGCGTACCCATGTAGTGTTGCAACCTTATGCCTGGTCAGCCTGAACTTCTGGAGCAGAACAGGAAGTAAGAGGTGGCTTGTGTCGCCCTGTATGGAGCTGCACCCCTGCACCTCCCCAATCCTCTACCCTCCCCTCACCCCAAATCTTATATTTAGGCTCCAAAGCAGAGTGTGATCTTTACTTTGCTCATGTTCCTGTTGACATGTGTATCAGAGGAAGGCCAAGGCAGGAAGGAATCCTACCACTCCCAGGGTGGCAGTGAGCTATCATGAATGGAGGAGGGCGCAACATCATTTGATTATAAAGGATTTTGCAATGGGCACAATGGAACATACCTATAATCCCAGCACTTGGGAGAGAGAGAGAGAGGAGGATCAGGATTTCAAGGCCAGACCAGCTTCAGTTACATAGTAAGTTCAGAGCTAGTCTGGACTTCATGAGATCTTAACGCAAACAAACAAACAAACAAACAAAAACAAAAAGGGAAGAACTTTGCAACTTCCTGTGCCCTGTTTCTGCAAAGGACTACATTTGGTGGAGCTCTGTGTCTGAGGGCAGTTGGTGAAGGGAGAGGATGCCTCAATAGCCAAGGCCTCAGCTCATTGCCCCAGCAGCAGGCCCATGCCATGCTCAGCAAACGCTGAGATGTTATTGACAGACAGAGAGGAATGCTGACAGTTATTGCACGTCAGCTCTCCTCTCCAGAGAGCCCTGCTCCATCCCTAACTCCCGCTAGAACGGTGGAAAGCAAGTTGTAGCTTTAATCACCCTGTGTTTACTCTAACCTGGCAATAGAGAGCTGTTTAATAAGAGCAAGGAGGCAAACTGCTCATCCTTTTAGAGTGGCCCAGGTCTAAAAGGGACCTGGATGTACACGGATGTAAATCAAACACACTTCAAAGGGTTCTACCACGCGGATATGAGGGCTGCCCACGAGGAGACTCAGAAGTCATTGCCGTGGTGCCGGAGTGGACTGTTGATGGGAATAGGGTTAAATACACAGTCAGTCTTCATTACTGGCAGATCTGGGTTGGCAAATTCAGAAAGCACCGAAACTTATCTATAAGGCAAAAGTCAATGTTCCTCTACCTTCACGGTCACTCGGAACACAGTGCAGTGAACATTGTCATCTTTGGTGCACATGCTCCCGGTGGAGGCAGGACAGTGGCGGCCTGCCCTCTGGTTCAGCTCTCAAACTTTGGCAGGCTGTGTGGCCACAGCTTTTCTTCCCTCCCTAGCAATTGCTATGCTTCCCCTCCCCACCATGGGTTGCTGTTGCAAATGCCTCCTTCAAACACAGAGCTCTGAGTTCTGTAGGACTCTTAAGTGTGTGTCTTGTGTCCGGTGAGCTTCCCCCAGCCATGTGTTACAGGGCAGAGTCTGAAGTTAACGGGCCAGCGATGTCCATTGGATAAGTTGTCTTAAACAGAGGGGAGCCCACAGCAAGGTCACACAAAGAGAGGTCGATAAAAAAATGTGACTGTTTGCTCACAGGAATCTAACCCTGTCCCATGTCTCCTCTCAGGAGTAAGTGTGCCATATTCACTAATCCGGTGTTCATGGCAGCTTTGCAGACCATACCTGTTATGGGTAATGAAAACAGACTGCACGTTGCAGCCAGGACCGTGGCTTGAACCATGCAGTGGATGGTAGAGTTGTTGGTGACTTGGGGCCCACAGTAGTGGGCTTGACGAAATCCTTGCCTTGCCCTCATTCCCCGGAACTCTACGGCCTTATTTTGTTATCATGAGAACCTCCATGGCTGAAAAGTCTCTCATGTCTCCTGGAATCAAATCTTTCAGGGCACTTCATTTGGCCATGGACCTAACACCAATATTTCCCCATACCTTCCACCCCAGACCCCCAGTTTAACACCTCAGACTCAAAAGGACACAGTGGGATGCCCTCAGCAGGGTGGGGGAATTGCAAAAGGCTTTTGTAAGGAGCCTGGAGTTCAGATAGGAGAGACTGCACTGTTCAGAGGACTTTGGAGTACAGAAGGAAAGGCAAACTTCTCTCCAACAGGCGAGGGTCCCGGAAGTCAACTAAGCTGCATTCCAGGAAGGTGGGGCAAAGGGGTCTGGAGGTGAACACGAATTTGAAACATTAAGGAGAAAGGGCAAGGAGGGAAGGAAAGAGAACGAAAAGAAAAGAATAATAGACTTTCGAGAAGAATCTGAACCCTCCTGATGGGGAGGGGTGGGGGGCTTTGTCACGGACCTAAGGGTACCCGACCCACAGAAAAGCCATCACTCTGGGATCCGACCAAACCCACTCACCTTGTGTTTGTGTTGTATAAATCAGCTGAGAATGTTTTTGTACTTTGAGGTTTTGATCCTGAACACACACACACACACACACACACACACACACTAAATTGACCTAGACAAATTAAAAGCTGCCTTTTACAGAAGTTTGTCAACCCCACACCAGAGCATGTCACTCAGCACATGTCCTGATAGTCGCCAGGAGAACAGAACAGCTCAGGCTATGGAGCTTCATGTCAGGCATGGTGTGAAGCTAGAGTATTCTCTGCTTCCTGAAAAAGACACCTGCAACCATGGCTGACCACCAGAGTTGGATCTTTGCATTTTGTATGATCAAATGATATCTGAAGAAAAACAACAACAACAAAAACCCACAGCCACAGAAAAAATCAAATCTCTGACATCAGTACCTAGCTCTAAAAGATTTCTCCTTTAAAGAAAACTGCAACAACCAGGCAATGGTGGCACACACCTTTAATCCCAGCACTTGGGGCAGAGGCAGGCAGATCTCTATGAGTTGGAGGCCAGCCTGGTCTACAGAGCAAGTTCTAGGACAGCCAAGGCAGTTACACAGAGAAACCCTGTCTCAAAAATCAAAAAACAAAAAGAAAGAAAGAAGAAAACCCTGCAACATATAGTGGTACACTCCTGTAATCATGGCACTTGGGAAGATGAAACAGAGGCTTGTTAGAATCAAATCCAGCATGAGTAAAAAAAAAAAAAAAGAAAAAAAGAAAAAGAAAAAAATTAAAGATGTATTTTGTTTTTAATTTTGTGTGTGTGTGTGCGCCTGCACATGATGAGTACAGGTGATCAAAGAAGTCAGAAGAAGATGTCAGATCTTCCAGAAGCTGGAGTTACAGCTGTCGTGAGTTTTGCCTAATGTGAGTGTTAGAAACCAAACTTAGATCTTCTGGAAGAGCAGCATGTGCCCTTAACTGTTGAGCTATCTCTTTCTAGCCGCTGTAATTCTCCTTCCCTCCCCATTTACGATATTTATATGATGGGTGTTTTGTTACACGTATGTCTGTGCACCATGCGCATGCAGTGCTCCTGGAGGTCAGAAGAGAGTGTTGAATCCCCTGGGATTGGAGTTTAAGACATTTGTGAGTGGCCATGCGGAGGCTGGGAATCAAACCCAGGTCCTCTTGAATTGTAGACAATTCTTAACACTGAACCATCTCTCCAGCCACTCCCCACCCCCTCCAGTGATTCACTTTTAATCACACAGCTGATAGTGGAGAGAGACCCTTTTCTGGTCAAAGATTGGAGCCGTGTTACTTCTTTCTAGCCCTCACTGGGGTGAGGGGTGGGCTTGTTGGGGCCCCCGACCCACTACGGCCATCTGGTAACTGTCACCCATCAGCCGGGAATACTCCAGGCAGACTCCCACGCTGTGTATGCGGCATTGCCTGGTGACAGCTGACTCAGTGTCTCAGGCTCTGCTGTCACCAATCAGCTGGCTGGGGTCCTTCTGTTCTACCCAGATGGAAATCATGAGCAGGAAAGGAGAAGCTCTTCGGTGCTGGAAGTCCCCAGCTCTTGAG